TACTTTAAAGGGGTCCTATTAGGCCCTTTTACGAAGTCTTGTTTTAGGGTTGTCCCTGAATATATTTTCATGCTTGATTGTTCAAAAAACGCATAATTTTTTCACATATTTTACATTATTACAGCTCCTCACTCCCTAATGTCATGGTTTTCAATGTCACGTGTCTTTTTCGATGTAGCCCCTCTTTCCGAAATATTAAATGTGCTTTGATTGGTTAGCTGACCCAGTGTGCAGTGCTTCAGCGCATGTTCGGGAAATGTCACGCCCCTTCTTAACCGCAAGCTCTACTCAGATGTAAATATTAACGATGGCATCAATTTCAAACCATTTCGGGCCCGATTCAGACCCTGACAATGTTAACAACAGGATTGTGCTGAATAATTTCAACCATGGACTTTGCAAGCACGGATTTCACAGGACGTTTCAGAGTGGTATGTTTTTTGTAATTTTCTTATAGATATGTTGTTATCCACCATTTCATCATATTTGTCGGTAAACCATGGTAATACAAACAGCAATCGATCACAAAATCATGGATAATTTTCCTAAGTGGCGGTGAAGTCATACAAAAAAAAGAGCTTAAAAGCTACAATAAACACTACATCAATACTTTAATGTTAGTTAGCAGGCTAGTGGAGCCACAGCTTTATGTTATAGTTATCAAAGCAACTACATAAAGCTTATAACTGGAACTGTTAAAGGACAACTACAAATAATAAGACATACTTGCAAGTTGTGATCCATGAACAACAGATTGCCCCAACAAAATGGGAATGGCTCCGTCTTTCAGGAGAAGCTGTTGTGCATATATCCTGCATTGTGCTGTCTTCTGGAGGCTGTTCTCCGTAAAATGAGCAGTGCACAGACAAGCGTTGAGGTTATAATGTTCAGGAATAGTGTTAAAAATACATTTTAACCTCTCTAAGTACGTCAACCTTAGGACAAACCTTTTCCGGGGTGCAGCGACAACAACTCTTCTTCTTATCTAAAGCAGCAACATGACATCATGACTTTGCGTAAACATACACGCCACTTTCAATTCAAGTGGCGTGTTATCTATACGCATTTTGAGCTATCCGCGTGTATGTCCACGCCGAAATCTTTTGCGTGTATGTCTACGCCATTAAACGTCCGAGTGATTCCGCGTGTATGTGTACGCCGTTAAATGTCCGAGCGAAACGAAGCAAAATCTATATCTACATCTGGGGAGCGATATTTCTTTTCCTAGGATGGTAGGAGAAGACTCATAAATGGTATTAACCCCAGTGACGGGTAGGTTTAGGGACGGGGTTGGGGTAGGTCATATATTTATATATACATAATACAGTAATATAACGTTAAGTCAAAGGCGTTGATAAACACGCTGAAAAGCGATTATGCACGCCAATGTTGATAGCACGCCAAAAATGGAAATACGAATTGGCGTGTCATACATACGCCATTTCATGAGATCAGTCTGAAAGCAGACCAACATGTCCTTGTAGGGTTTGTGATGTCACCAACCCGGGAAGAAGCTTGTTGTAGTTCCTACCAGCCATTTGTTGAAGTCCTTAAAAAGCGTTTTCTGTGAAATAAAATATCTCCCTTTGCATTGAACCTTGAGCATCGTAACTTTGCAGATGTTGTTTATGCTCAAACAGCAACATTACACTCTAACTAAAGTAAAAAAAGAAAAGAAAAAGATATCATAATCAAGGACCCCTTTAATACTTTCAATAGTTGTAATACTTTTAATAGTTTTCAATAGTTTTTAGGGCTACTGTAGATTCAAGGCCACTAGTTTGATTTTGAGACACTTCTCATCCTCCGTCTCTTATTTCACTCTTCCTATAGCCCTCTCTGATTTCCCCATTTGCAAGCCAATCTCTGATTTCCTGATTCTGCCAATAGAGAGCCCCTTTCTTTTAATGGTGCCACAAACTGGTTCAGTGTCTCTTTCGACACTCTCATGAGTGATTCTCTCAGCTCTTTCAGCAATCTTGAGAGCAAAAAAAAAACCTATTAAATCAATTTAGCATAATGACAAACACTTACTAATATATCACACATTAACACTTCATTAAATATTCATAAGCATTCATAAAAGCATTGTCTTCAAAAAACGATGTGTACAACATGATAAAAGTCTTTGTTTCATATGAGCTAATGCATTACACAAATTTGTTTCCCCACATAACCACCAGACGGCACCAGCCGAGCACAGTGAAGAACATAATGATATGCAACGTCTGGCACTAGGCATGTCACCTTTAGTGTGGAAAAATAAAGGACACCCTTGATTTTACATCATTTTAAAGTTCACATTTAATGACTCTGAAAATGTAAACATCAAGTAAAAATGAATAACATCTTTTCCGTACACCTTAAATACACTTGAGTATCTTACTATTTTTTTAAATGTTTTTTTTTAAATCGTTTTAAAATATCAAGATTAAGTTATATGTATTCAAATGATCTGATATTATCTAATACAAGACTTAGTTTTTTTGCAGAAAAATATATCAAATATACATTATTTATAAGAAATGCCAACACTAGTGAAAAAAAAAACTTTTACCAAAATGTATTTAAAATACATTTATTTCTTATACTTATAAATATTATAATTAAACTTTATTTGGAGTATTTATTTATTGCACAATGTACATTTGTTAATATTAAGCCTAAAATGTGTTTTAATATCACTATTAGTAAGAATAGTATGACCACTATATAATATCAGTCTTTAAATGCAAAATATTTTAAGTGTACCTAAATTATACTTACGTATATCTTTAGTTGAACTTCCGGATAACTAAAGTGCATTAAGTACAAAATTAGTTGTTCCAATTTAGCAGACTTTAAGTATACCAATTTTGTACCAAAAGTAAAATAGCAAGGTATTTATATTAAGTACATAATTATGTAAATGTATTTGTAGTATACTTAGCATAAAATAAATGCATTTCAAATACTTTTTAGTATATTTATTTTTCACTAGGTAAACCATTTAAATTACATGTTTGTTTTTATTATAACATCAGGACATGGTTGACTTTATGTCCCAAAAAATATGAAAGTATGTTTTAGCAAAATTCGAGAGGAGCCCGTTTAGATAATCTACCCAATCAGCAAGAGGAGGCCAATATACAGTTTATAGCTGACTCACCTCTGTCTCTCGACAGTTTTCCAGCATCCCTCCACCACCCCAACTTCCTATCCCAACCAGGGATATCGGGGTAGTACTCTGGGTTCGGGCTAAAATTCTGAGCCCAGACAGGACAGTGCTAATAAAACCAACAAAGTTTGAACAAGCAGTACCTTTTAGAAGGTTGGCTTTAACCTCTATTTTGATACAATCTCAGTTATGGCCCACAGAGGGCTAGCTTACGTGAAGAGAGTGGCAACACAGATCGATCAAAACCGAATCAACCTGAATCCATTCCCTGTGCCATGTTCAACAGAGACACTTCTGCTGAGGTCTGTTTGATCAATGTCACCCCTCTTGAGGTCAAGGCTCAACATCTGTGGTTACAAGCTGCCTCGGGACTCATTTACTAATGGAGACGAAGTGATTAGCAGGTGGAGGATGTCATATATAAAGATTGCATGTATTTACATGCATTCTCTGCTGGTAACAATAAAAACGCTCCATAAAAGTATAATTAAAGTGGTTCGGAAAATATTCCAAGTATTTTGAAGCTTGAGCAACAGACTGAAATGAAGTTTGTACTGAAATGAAGCCCCACCTTGGCTTGATATGCTTTTGGGAAACATGGACCTGAATGATTTGTTCATGAATCAGATTGATATGGTTCTTGAGTTCACAGTTATCTCACTGGAAAGGGCGATTTTGATAGCCTGGGAAAACCCAGACAACTTCCGGCAAATTTAGATTTGCTCTGAAAGTTAGTCTGACAAAGAGCTCATTCAAGCCCATTTCCAATCCGTCGAAATCGCGGCACCAATCAGAAACGTTGGGGCGGGCTTTACACAATGACGACAGCGCTGGGATTTTGAAGCAGATTTTGTAGCCTACATTACAGAGATGGATGCCGCCATCGAACATCACTCGTTCGAATCAGCTATCGCGTCTGTTTTAAGCGATTTGAACGTTTCCTTTTTGTTAAAAACCGAGCAAAAAACAACACTCGGCCGCTCTGCATACGTCATCTCCTCCATCACTCTGATTGGTTTTAGGTCTATCCGCGACGTCCGTTGGTGACGCCCCTCTGGAAATGATTTGTCTATGACGCTTTGCCAGACCATAACTGAGTTACAACTGAGAATGGTCTAGTTTTATCCAGGCTACGATTTTGAGTGAATTTCAGCGAAATGTTGGTTTGTTAATCAAAGATAGCTATTGTTTCTCAATTGACAGTCTCATATCTTAGGCATGGACATTTCTCTTTCCGTTCAGGTCTAACTGGTTATTTGAAGGTGAAGTAACGTGATCGAAAAGCTTGCCCCTACTGTTTACCAGATGGCTGGTAATGATTTAAAAAATTACGTTATTTGATTGATTTGAAATTGTTGTATGTCACACGCAAGCTTACAGATAGGAACTACGTATCAAGGATGTAACAGTGAACAAATCGGAGCAAATGTTACAGAAGAAACCTGAAATTTATTTTGCGTAGCCAGGTCTAATGCATGTCATCTTTGTGTTAACATTGCACCCGACAGTTTTTGGTTTTATCAGACACTTAGTGTTCTTAAAGACTGAATGCTTCAGTCATCATTCATTGCAACTGCATTGAACAGGGCAGTACAAAAGTTAAAAAATTTGATCATCTAGTAAGTAAAAGGATGCGCTCAAATGTTATTGTGCAGAAGCTTAAAATTTGCCATTAATTTCTCTGCATTTAACTTGCGTTTCCTCTATGTAATTCAATTTATGTTCTTTTTTGGACCGCGTGTGTCCAGCATGTGACGTGTCACACCGTCACATATGCAGAAACACTCCATCAGCAGGCCTTCCTAAAAACCTAATTTCCTTTCCCGCCACTTCTCTGTCTCACCTTGCTCTTTGGGTCCGGTGCTGGCGATGATCCATTTGACCAGACAACACCTCATGAGGGCTTTCCGTGTGAAGCGAGGCCTCTGCCATTTGCCACTCTCCTTCTGTCGGCCTGTGCCAGGCTCCAGCCCATTGGCATCACCCAGCAGACTGCCATCCCCCAACTTGCCATCCTCCTGGGAGAGAAACAGACAATGACAAAGAGTCTATTTCTTCTCACTCAGCTGATCCAATCTTGCAAGATGTGTGTTTGTGTTAAATTAAATTCTACTCAGCATGAGAACAGCAAATGGTAGAATGTGTCTCGCTTATGTTACAACGTGGTCTTTTACTAGAAGAAGAAGAAGACATAATTGTCCTCAGGGGTGTGAATATTGCATATGTAAACAGATGGTATTGCTGCGTTCAGATGACAGATTTTGAAGATGACATCACTCAAACATGAATTGATTTATTCGCTTTTTGGTTCCCTGTTTTTTTGGTTACCACTGCCAACAAAACAAATAAACAAAACTAGATTTTCATCTGCTAAAGAAAATACTAGTGCTTGCAAGGCAGCCAAAGCATAAGGGAAGATTTCAAGGGTGAAGGGGAAGATGTTTTTTGTAACCTAAAACACAATAAGCCTACATATATTTCTTCAGGAGGTTGTCATGTTGTTGCAATGGAGATGTGAATAAATGAGGTTTACATCAGTCTAAAATGAGCTTTTATTATCCTTAGGTTGTTTATTTTGTAAAAAAATAAATATAAACGTGAAATGACAAATTATCATGGGACATGTGCATATACATGTAGAAATGTTTCATATCAGCCTCTGAATCTAAAGTCTGCTGCAAATATACAGGCATGAACCATAAAATATGAAAAAGGTCATGTAAAACTCTGTGACCTGCCATCAGCCACACTGACATCATCATAGCGCACAGGCTGACCATGACATAATCCGAAATTATGTCACAAGATGATCTGTCATTATAGATAATATCATGCCTTCTTAGAATCCTGTCATTAACATTCAAATCGAGATATAGAGGCAAAATTCTTTTTTTAAAATCTGATTTAAGCCTGTAACATTTTGAACTATAATAAAATATTAAATGATCCTTTGAGCTCTGTAAAAATGACAAAACTGTATCATAGCAAGCATAGTTTCTGCCAAAAATATCTTAGTTATTATTTTTTTTACAATAAAACTGTGGTAACTTGGTATCAGCCACAATCATCATATAGACAGTTTACAGGTTATCCCATTTTAATTTAATATTTTATATAGTAGGCCTATAGTAACAATAATTCCAGTAACTATGGAGAAGGAAAATATGGTTACACTATAATTCAGTTTATGTTTCCTTCTTCTCTCCTCTATTTCTTCACCAATACCTCAAGCCAAGACTCATTTCAAACATCTCGACAAGTGATGAAAACCAGTTGTTTCTGAAGCCATATCAACATTGCTTTGAACAATGATTTCATAAAGCATATTATTGGGTCACATGGCCCTGGTGGAGGCCATGATTACATTTCCCACTGACAGAGGAAATATCTTGTGACAGTCCCCAAACCCCCATACATACTTGTGAGCATACTAGTTTCTACACAATGATAAGATCCACAAATTCAACAGTCAAGCAGACCATTATCTTCACAATGTTATTGCGTGTTTATCTAGGATTAGACAATCAAAAATGAATCACACAGAACAATACAGAGGGATTTCACTGTTGCAAAAGATCTTAACTATTAATCAAGTATTCTCAACTCTTGCTGGCTTTTCCACTGTTAAAGAACTGCTCTACGTCTTGTTTTAAAAAAAAAAAAAAAAAAACGAATGCTGTTTTCTCTCATGCTGCGGGTGCTGTGTGAAGATGTCTTATTTTGTTATCAATCACGACTCATTGCTTTGTGTTTGCATACATAATGCACTTTTGGCGCTGCTCACTCTTATTGATGGTTTGTGTAAAGCTGAGAGAAACAAATGTAGCCTATCGGTGCATATTTTGTCATGTTTGGCTACTCGGCTTAGTTATATGTTTTGGTTTTATTGTTTTGAGAGAATTGATCATCATTTTAGGAAAAGTACTCGCATTTGTCCGTGTTCATTAGTTTACGATCTGTCTAACAGTCCTGTCTAACACGTTATTAAATAGAACTGTTATACATAGAAAGTAGACAGTATATGAAATGGTATTAGCATATGCCGTGTGGTTGATGTCCAATGTCGCTAGCTGAGAAGAAAATGATTTGCGTGCGTTTGGCCAATCAGCGTACACTAATAATTCACTGGTAATTCCTATAGTGCTGGTTTAGACCCTACTCTGAAGTACGAGCTACATTAGTTCCTCCAAAAGGAGTTCCTAGAAGGTTCCTCCGGTGCGAAAGCCACTATTGTAACAAACAAAGTGGAGACATGATGTAAATAAAAGATTCATTGTGCAGTTTTGACAGATTCATTGATTAATACGGGAGTTTTGACACTCGATGAGTTCGTGGCGAACTGACTGACAGCTTCAGTGATGGAAGCGTACGTTTTTTACTCGGTCTAAATTCATTCGCAATTTGAAGAAAAGTTTTTTTTTTTATTAGACTGTGACTTTCCCTACATACAGTTACATTTAATATGGTAACATTTAAATGAGCTAATATTCAGACATTTGAGATTGAAGTGCTGTAAAAGGTTGGAAGTGGGACTGTCACATCGAGGGAGTAAAATTGGATGATGTCATCAGAGTCTACCATACCTTGGCTTTTGGTGAATTGACGCCACTGACATCACAGGTGTAAATTACATTTTAAAATATGGTAAAATAGAAGACAGTTCTTATAAATTGTAATGATATTTCACTATAATTTTTTATTTTTACATTTTACTGTATTTTTCATCAAATAAATGCAGCCTTGGTGAGCATAAGATAACATTTTTTGAATGGTAGTACAACGCAGGGTGAACTGAACTAAACAGCAATGTGTGCCTCTTGTACAGTCTGTATTTGGGTCATATAATACTGAACACACCGCTTGATTTCAGAATGACCTTTGCCAAGTGAAGAAATATGGAGAAAGATGAAAAATACCAACATTTGAGCAACTTAATGGGACAATGTGGCATTTCACTGCTCCCATGAGTTATTTCAGCACACCCCAGGATCACCTGTATGGGAACCAACAAAACCTGGACTGGAGCAAACACATATGAAATAGACTGGATAAACAAACTGCCAATAATCGTAATTTGGTGGCGGAAGCGTTTCTGGATCATTCCAGGTCATTTTAACCCCTGCCTTGTCTGTCATCGCCAAACTTTAAGACCAGGACGGGTCTTGTTTATAAAGGAATCCCCCTGACACGCACTGTACTACACCTCGTTCCTGCACAGCACAACTCCGCTCATTCGTCTTTCACTCAATTATTCAGACCCTAACTCTATAAAAACCCCATCAATAAAAGATCGGCAGAGAGAGCGAGCGAGCAGGAAACAGAAGGACAAAAGCCTCTTTTACGAGCACACACAAAAGCATGGCAGGTAGAGGTTTGAGAGCCGCCTCTCTCTTCATAAACTCACAAAGGAGCCCGTCATCATCCTGAGAGGGCTTTTATAGAGATAAACACAGACATTGATTAGGCTCTCAGGGAGAGGTTGGTTTAGGCCAAGCTGTAAATGCTGAGCAGCATGAGCCGGGTCGAAACACAATCGCTAGAAACGGAGCTAAATGCCAGGTGAGAGCGGGACTGTCGAAGAATATGACACATCAGACAGCCACTACGGGCTGAATCCTGACAGTGAGTGTAATCGGCTAAATTAAAAATGGAAGAGCCGCTGCTCTTGCCGCATAAAGTCTAAGGAGATTGAATTAAAAGTATGGTTGGGATTAATGACTGGGTGTGTGATAAAAATGGCAAATTAGGTATTAGAACGACTTTGAATTAGGATAAAGAGACACGTTTGCATCATATTTGTTCTGCTGAATTAACACATTTTATGATTCAGACAATTCCCATCTGGTGAGACAGCATGTCAACGTTTTTACTGATCTTAGTTTACTTCATTTTTCACTTTGTTCTTTCTTTTTACCCCGTCTTCTGTTTGCCATTTTTTGTGCACTTGAGCTGGTTGATATGACCAAAAATACCCAATCTCAACATTTTTCAGGCTTTTGATCAATACACTCTGGGTGGCTGGGTTCAGCCTGTTGGGTTATTTGAAATATTTTTACCCAGCTAGTTTGCTGGGTAGTTTACCTGTAACTCAGTTGATGGGTAATTTTTACTGTCAATACAAATGATGAACCCCCTTACATGCCCACCTAGCGCTGGGTCAGTGTAACCCAATTACGGGTAGTCTGTGCCAAACAGGTTAAAACTGGATACATTTGTCAACAGTCATTTTGTGTCCTGTTCTGAGAGAAAACTTCCTGAGGGGAAACGTCCTGAATGAAATTAAGGCTTGTATTATATTGTATTCCTATCAAATTATTACTGTACAAATAGGAAAAACGTCTGTAGTCTCACATTTTACTTTTTTATTTTACATGTAAGTCGTAGCTAACGTCTGCTTGGAACGCTAGCCCTCTTCAAACAGAGCATACACCTAAACTGCACTCAAAACAAACATTTTGCTACCTCCCATTAAAACAGTAGGTAGCACAATTCGACAGAGAAAAATGCTACCTGTCAGATTGTGCTATCAGCATTATAATTAACATCTATACCTACCCCTGTAGCCAAATAACACAGTCATTTTTTTTGAGTTCAGAGTGTTTGGTCTTACTGTTCAAAAGGTCTGAGTCAGTAAGTTTTTTTTTATATTTTTTTTTTATGTTCACTAAGGCTGCATTTATTTGATCGAAAATATAGTAAAACAGTAATATTGTGAAATATTATTATTAATAAATTAAATATGACTATTATACATTTTAAAATGTAATGTATTCATGTCATGACAAAGCTGAATTTTCAGCAGTCCAGTCCTCAGTGTCACACGATCCTTTTGCTGATTTGAAATTTGCTGATTTGGTGCACAATAAATATAAATCTTACAATTACAAACTTACAGCACATTCAACATTATACAGTTTGTATCTGCATGCGTGTCAAGTCACCTTTATTTATACAGCCTTTTACACAATACAGATTGTTTCAAAGCAGCTTTACAGTGATAACAGGAAAATGATGCAAT